TAGTAGCTCAAGCCCCAAAACCCCAAAACCCCAAAACCCCTAAAGACTAAGATAGATGATATGAGGATAATTATAAATTCTTAAATAATCGAAAAATGAAATTAAAAAGGGCATTACCCAAAAAGTCCAATAGCCTAAATAACAGTCAGCAAATTCAACCATCAAATAAAATTGAACTCTATAAGCATTCTAGGAAATTAAAGTAAGGTATCCATGTATAAAATTACCTCTTACAGGATAGCAATACTGCTGGGCTCATTGGCATATTTTACTCTAATTTTAGTTTTAGCATTAACTCTTACAGAGTACATAATTTTCGTAGCAATGGCTCTCGTTGTAATTTACATAAATAAAACCAATTTCAATAATAGGTTCATTTAATAATATTTTTACTTTTGGGGAGATACATAGTAAGGGCAGTATTTTTTCCATATGGCAATAAAATAGTAACGACATTCCTTGACGGACAAGTCAATGAGAGATTCGGTATTGAGTTCTCCAGAATACTAGAGAAAACTTATTACATCATTAAAGAGAACATGCTTGAGCCGATTTCATAGTAGAATCAAGAGCAATAAGAGTCAAAGATATTCATATTCAATTAGAGTAAGGAATTCATTATATTCATCATTAAATTTAGGCATTATGAGTACTTGTGAATTGATAAGTTTGTACTCAAATATAAATACTCAATGCATCGAAGAAGGTAAAAGAATAAAGAAGAGAGCAAATCGATATTTGGTCAAGCTAACTAAAATACTAATAGAAATAAAGAACACTCTACAGCAGATCAAGATTAGAGTGCCAAGTGATCACTTGAATATTGGGGATTTCGGAGAGCATCTTATGGTTAGCTTCTGGATGGTGTATGCTTCAGAAGAAATAACTGAAATCAGTACACAGGTTATTTATGCTATGCCCAATTTACCCAGAATCGTACTAGAAGATTAAACTGTTCACTAAATGGATCACCTACTTGAACTGATAACAGATTTTAAGAAAACTGTTGAATTAGGTAGTAAGCCATGCAAATGCTGTTGTAGGAGAACTAGTTGCTGGTTCTTTTATAATGGAATATTTGGAACTCTGCAATAAATGAGATTTATACTTGAGAAAAATTTCGATGGAAGACACTTTATGATCAAATCTCATTATGATGATACTCTCATTGATGCAATGTTTTTCCCTGCTAGTACCGAGAAGACCCTTGTTAAAGATGAGTTATAGAAATCAATGATTAAGCCATAATACTTGACCATGCCTACTGTAATTATGTGTAATCCAAATGCTTTCTTCTATCAGCATATGGTTTCTTAGCCAAACGCATTTTGGCTGAATTTTTTCCTCAAAAAAGGAATAAATGTTATCGGTTGGAATTATAGGGGCTATGGAAGCACTAAAGGAACTCCAACTCCATATAACATTAAGATAGATGGTGAATCAGTTTTACTATTCTTAATAAATGAGTTATAGCTTCAAGGAAAACTAGGAGTTTATGGAAGATCTCTTGGAGGTGTTGTTGCGTGCCACATAGCAGCAACCTTTCCATAGAAAATTGAACTTCTAATGGCTGATAGGACTTTTGGATCATTAAAGAATCTTAGCCTAAGAAAATTTGTAGGTGGAGGCACATCTGGGTTATTTGACATCATAACTTTTTAATGGCAATCAAACAATCATGTCAATTATGCTAATGTAAATATACTTTCTAAACCAATTTAGGCTAAATGCTTTAAAATTGCTACATGCGATCCAAAGGATGAAGTTGTGGATGAATACTCAAGTCTGATTGCATAATCTTCTTAATACTTGGTAAAATAAATGTATTCATTATTGTTAGAGTGCTAAACTTTCACCACAATTCCTTGATAAAGGTAAAAGAGATGAATTCTTCAGAAACCTATGTCTTACATTTGTGATTGAGAATTACTTTTTTAACATAAGGCAAGAAAAAAGGAATATGATTGATACTTCAGCGAAGGATTAGAAATCAAGATAGAAAGCTTACTAAGTGAAGGGCAAGAATGGTAAATAAACTGATATGATGGATATTAATCTAGAGGAGAACTTTTTCAATATCAACTTTTCAAATAAGGGTACAATTACTTCCACTGATCATAAGTCAGGTACCTCAGCTTCAGCGGCATCCTCAAAGCTCAATTCAAAAAATTTCAGTAAATTCAAGAGTAAAATCCTATCAGAAAATGAACTCAATTTTGACATGATGATAAAGTTGATTAAATAAGAGTAAAGCTGTTTTTCAGAGGCAATTATTGAAAGGCTCCGAATACTCATCTTGCTGCTAAATGAATTTTCAGGTGGAATCACAAAGCTTGGATCAGTCTGCAGCTACAATCGAATGCAGCAAAAAAATGATTTTGAGGTATATACTTATAGGCTTATTTAATTTAGATTTTTCTGGGTCAATTATTTTGTTTGGGATCTAGTTATGAAATTGGGGATGCATCATAAGTCTTCGTCATATAGACCTAAAGAGAAAAATCAAAGGTAAAAATAATTTAATAACAAATTATCAGACAGATATTCTGCAGATACTCTATCAAATCAGGGCAATAATGGATTAATTGACAAGTGAAGAGAACTCAACCTAATTAAATGATTTTCTAAATCTGTTGATGACTAATCTTAATGAAAAATTCGAGAAACTCTATGAATTCCTGATTGAATTAGTAAGAACAAATAAAGTTAGTTATGAGCATATTGGGTATTTAGTGCCTCTTAAATGTGGTCATAAAGGAAGACCAAATAGAGCCGAGGAAAAACTGCTAGAAAATGTATTAAGAGAGAGCAATTTCGTTTACAATCCATTCTTGAATAGATTCGTTTCTGAAGCTGACAAAGCCAGATAGGAATAGGCATTAGTAATTGAGATTGAGTAAGTAAGAGTAGAGTCTATGTCTGAATAGAAGAAACACAAGAAAGTCTAAAACAACAAATTAACTGGGAAGGAACTTGATGATATTCAATTAGAAATCGAAGAGGAAGATAAAGACAATTCAAAAGGAGGAGCATTTAATATTAATAACATCGAAGAGTACGATAGCACTCATAAAAAGCAGAATTTATACGGTGAAAATAGTCTTACTAAGGTTGCAAGAGTACATAAAAATGCCAATATGAGTAGGACAATGAGTAACATGCATATTTCTGATGATAACTTCGATGTTGCTAAAATAGCTAACTACCAAATGGAAATACCAAGGGAAATGTCCTACAATGAAGATATGAATTTGAGTGGATTTAAGAACAAATTAAAAATCAGAAGAGTTTGATTTATCATATGTTCAATTAAACATCATAACTTTAGTTTTAGAAGAATTCTTGTGGGGTTTTGGGGTTTTGGGGTTTTGGGG